AGGAAACACACAGCCAGGCAGATGAGCTCCGAGCTAGCCCCAAGTAAAGAAGTGTCAAACTTTTGCGACCCTCTTATATATGTGAGTAGCTGAGGAACGGAAGGCAGGTTACCCACAGATATGCTTGTGAGAAATACATAAAACCATTTCACTTGCAAGGAGACATAAAAGCTGCTCTATAAAAGCTGCCATGATAAACAGCTTCAAAAAGAAACACGTGTGGGAACCGGGGTGATGATTTGAGACCAGGAGGATGGAGATGGAGGGCATGATGGAAAGACAAGCTGACATCTCTTCAAACCTCAGAGGCCAAGACTCATAAATCCCCCCAGACCACAGGAGGAAGAGTTTCCCTTCTTTGGGTTTCTGGGCGAGACGTTAGATCGGACTTGGCTGCGTTTGCAGAGGATGTTTGAGTCTCACCTGATTGAACCTGCGGGTGAAGGCCACGACGTTCGGAGCAGAGCTGTGCTTCTCCTTCTTGTTCCAGCCGCAGCTAGAAAGCTCCTGTAAACAGCAAACCAAATCCAGATTATGCTCCAACTCAAAGGGGATTCTGTTTACACATACGTTTGACTAATGTATTTCACAGGAAAGAGGAGAAGGACCAGGTTATAGCAGAGGAAAACAGATGATAGGAGGGAGGAGAAAGAATGAATGAGTGAAGACAAGACTCAGAGGGATAAAAGAGCGACAGGAAAAACAAACAGCTGAGGTCATCCAGGAACAGGTCTGTTTTCTATATATACATACAAGACAGATTATTCTGAGACACAGAGGAGGAAAAGCTACACGTCTTTCAGCACAATTCAGAACAAACATCCAGGATTAGTTTGGATGCTGAAAAAAACACTCAAAGAAACAAACAAATCAGTGACTTTAAAACAACAAACTGAACTTTAAGAGAATTTCTTCTAAGATTTTGAGAAGTGAAGGTTTTAAAAAAGTTAATGATTCTAGGAAGTCCACAAGAAACTCTGGATATTATTTCAGAAAGAAATTTTCTTCATAAAATGAAGATTATTCTGAACGGCTAATGGCTAAATACACAATTTAATTTCCTCTGGGACTTTTAAATCATTAATGAAAGAGCTGAAACAAAAACATGGGGCCTGCTGTTCCAGGAGAGCTTCTCATGTTAGCCACACAAAATGGATCCTAAACACATAATAAATTAGTGTTAAAGTCATAGGGAAGCAGCTGTTCTAATAGTTGCATTTCTCCCAAGTGGTGCACGACTTTACACGAGGGAATAAATCGAATGCGATTGGTCGATTATCAAGGGGGCGGGATTGTTGTGGTGGAAGGGTCGCAAGCAAGTTTGGTTTTGTCCGATTTGTTGGAAACATCTTGCTAACCGGTTAGCAACTTAGTGCTAGTAGGTTCCCAATGGGAAATTCCATTGGGACCAAGTAGCACTTAATTGGTGACTTAGAAACGACGCTGTCAAGGAACGCTATGGACAGCAGAAACATGCAAGAGGAGGAGAGTTTAGTGTCGGAGGTCGTGGATGAGTCTCCTCCGTCATCCATTTTTTATTTAGAGGAGGAAAGCGGG